TGAAACCAGCTCATAGACATTAGGGCTGGAAGGGACCTCAGAAGATCATCGAGTCCAGCCCCCAAGCTGGAGCTCTTGCAGATGGATTGTTTCTCAAGTGGCATTTGAAAAGTATCTAGTCCTGCCAGCTTAATGAAATGCTAGGGCCCAACATATCAAAGATCAACGTATGGATATTTTTGTGTGTTTCGTTGTTAGTATATTTGACATGTCCGTAACTGGAAATCTGAAAAATGGAGAAGAGTGAAATCAGAATTGTAATCAAATACCTCCGTAAGAAGGGATCAAACATGTGGAGCCAACCTGTACCGTAGCTGTCAAAACAGGCCTTTTTGTGGGCACCGGTTGTTTGCAGACATGTTATAAATAAAGTGCTATTTAAACCTCACTTTTAAACCCAGAGTATTGTTTTTTTAATTGTAGTTCATATTTTAGTTATTTTTGAAATTTAATTTTACTCCTGGTAGACAGCATAGCAGTGCTTGAAGTAGGATCTGGAACTCGTAACTCCCCTCTTCTAGTTAGGTGCTGTTGGTTTGAATCTCCCCAGACAGAAGAGAGTGTAAAATCTGGATGTCCTCCCTATGTGAATACCGAAATCACTGATCAGAGGGGCGTGCCAGCAGCCCTATCTCTAGCTGTGTTTTTTTTTAAAGTAGCATTTTGTGCAGTGCATGAGCTATGAGGTGAGCTCTGAGAAACCTCCCGGATCCAGCCCTTCAGACAGAGCAACACCTTGTTGATGGTTCTTGACGAGCCCTGAGCTAGGCATGGAGCCGTTCAGTCCTGCTGCTTGGCACATGCACAGAAGTTGTGATTAAATTTGAAGCGCCTATGAGGGTTGGGGCTTGTCGAGGAGTAAGCAGCAGCTGAGTTGATGGGTTGAGGGTCATAATTTAGGAATTAGGGAGTTGAATCCCACCACAGTCCAATTACACCCTTTTGTGGTCTTGGGCCCAAGTGGTGGCTGATCAGAGGTGTTACATTAGGGCCGCTCTCACTGCTTCACTGCATTTATGGCAAGACTGCGCCCGCTCGGCGGATGGACAAACCCGACACATCTAAAAAGGCCAATGGATCCCCTAGAAAAAAGCCTTTTGAAGGTGTTATATTTTAAGTTGATGCTACATCTGCTTGGGATGGGAGACGTCTTCAGGGGTGATGATTATAGATGGGCTTTTCCTCTAAGGGACAGGACCAGGAGCCTGCACTCCAGCAGTAGTGGAGGAAACGGAGGTTGGAGAGGAGGAGAAACTTCCCCACCCTGGAGCAGGCTGGGCCTCTCCATCCCGGCACGTTTGCAAACCCGGGATCGTTTCATTAATGCAAAAGTAAAGGATTTCACTAAATGCAGCCTGCAAGCCCCGCCCCCTCGCTGCGCAGGCAGCCAATGAGCGCGGAGCGGAGCAGCCAGCAGCAGGGCAGGCTCCGAAGCCGCCCGCCCGCGCCGGTTCCACCCCGCGAGCGGCGCGGCGAACCGCAGAGCCGGCCCCTCCCGCGCTGTCCCCGGGAGCGGTGCGGGCGGGCGCGGTGCAGCCATGGAGGTGCAGGCGGCGCCGCTGCGGCCCTGGGACGATTTCTTCCCCGGGCGCGACCGCTTCTCGCGGCCCGACCTGGGGGACGTGTCCAAGTGGAACCACCGCGTGGTCAGCAACCTGCTCTACTACCAGACCAACTACCTGGTGCTGGCGGCCGCCGTCGTCTCCGTCGTGGGGTGAGGTCGGG